CTGAGGGGCATGCTATGGCTGAGAAGTCTGTGGAGGTGCACTCCTCCCAAGTCTAGGGCAATTCCTCACCACACTCAAAACAAGCTCTGGGAGGACATGGCGGTTGTGACTGGCTCGGGCCAGGTCTGCTGGACTGACCTCTGAAAGCACCCCGCACAGGAAGCGCGCTAGAAACCGGAGGTGCATAATAAGGTTACTGAGGCCTAGGAGGATCTGGAGCACCATTGGCTGCTGGAAGAGCTTAATAAACAGGGCGACTCATATAACTCCTACCATGACGACCTGCAGCTGGGGTACGGGCACCAGAATAATGGCCTGACTCTCGAGACCTCTTGACCTCCCTCTCCTCTCTCTCCCTAGCATGCATACCCTCAATCCTCCAAGTAATGCTCACCACCTGCTGATAAGAAATATCCATCTCCAACTCACGTGTCATGCTAGACCTGATGCTGGGAATAAGCCCCGTAATAAACCGGCGAACCCTCTCGCGGACAATAGAAACCAAGGCTGGTACATGCCTAGACAAACTGGTGTAACGGACAGCATACTCTGAGACAGTCATAGAACCTTGGTGCAAATGCTCAAACTCGGTACGCCATGCGTCCATGAGGCTCTGAGGAACATACTCTCTCAGGAACAGATCTGAAAACTGAGTCCAAGTCAGTGAAGTAGCCTCATCCGGACTATCTAACTCATAGGTGCGCCACCACTCAAAGGCGGCTCCTCGAAGCTAGAAAGTAGTGAAGGAAACCCCGCTCGATCCTGATATACCCATGGTACGGAGAATGCGGTAACTTGCATCTAGAAATCCCAGAGCATCCTCCAATGCTAGACCGCTGAATACAAGAGGCTTGTACCTCTTGAACCTCTCAAGCCTCAGCTGCTCCTCCTAAGAAGTCGCTGCCCTGTCCTCGGGCTGAATTGGCACTGCAGGCAGTACAGGAATAATCTTAGGGACCTGCTCAACATGCACCCGTTTCTCAGGAGTGCGGGCGGCGGGAGTCTGTGCTCCTCTCCCGGCTTGAGATGTGGCTGCAGCAAGGGGAAGCAATCCTACCTGAGCTAGAGTGGTGTACATGCTCATGAACTGTGCCAAAGTCTCTTGGAGAGCTGGAGTAGTGGTAACAGTAAGTGTGTCAGGTGCCTGGACTCCAGCTGGAAATACTGGTGGTACCTCGGTGGCAGCTCGCGCAGGTGCTCTGGCTGCACCACGTACGCATCCTCGGCCTCTACCCCGACCCCGGCCTCTAACGGCTGTAGGAGGGGGCACAGGTGCCTGATCATCTCGGGTAGCACGTGTCCTCACCATTTGTGAGAGAATAGAAGATAGAAGTTTAGAATTGTGATGTCAAAATATTGCACGACAAGGAAATCAAATGAAGTGGAATTTTTCTAACAGTTACATAGCCTCTCTTAGATGAGTACAGGCTTCTCCGTACCGATCAGCGAGACTCTAATAAACCGGCTTATGATCCATGAATTCTATGAACCTAGAGCTCTGATACCAACTTGTCACGACCCCGGTTCGCAATCCGTGAACTATCATGACGGCACCTAGTCTCTACGACTAGGTAAGCCTAAATTGCGGAAGAAAAACCAAAATTTACGGAAGTAAAAAAATTTAAAATAGAAATAAGGCAGTAACACTGTTTAAATGTGCCCCTCGGCATACACCATGTTTAACTCTCAATAACAAAACATAAATCCAAGAACCGGAAACCCACGAATCACAAGCTAAGATCAATACTACATAGCTCTAACTCCGGAATGTCTAATAAGAACAGAAAAATACAGAAGGGCTAAATACTAAAAGCAGGAATAGAAAGGGACTTCTTGGTATGCGGACGCGGCAGATGTACCTCGAAGTCTCTAGAGCAGTCACCTCCTCAAGGATGATAAGCCTAAGTAGTGGTACCTGGATCTGCACATGAAAAACATGCGTAGAAGGGGCATGAGTACACCACAGCGGTACTCAGTAAGTGCCAAGCTTAACCTCGGTTGGGTAGTGACGAGGAAAGTCAAGGCCCTACTGAGGTTAAATAAATAATAAGATGCCAGGATAAGATAAACAGTACAATTGAGAACCTACAGTAAGAATCTACACAGGACAATAAGGAGTACAATAACGGAAACAGAAATAAAGGCAAACACCAGGAAGTACCACTCATAAAAAGGATGATAGCCGGGGATCTCTTGGTATCCCGAGGATCTCTTGGTATCCTCAATATATGCTAGGGATCTCTCGGTATCCCGAGGATCTCTTGGTATCCTCAATATACGTGTCAGGGATCTTTTGGTATCCCGCACATCAATTCAGATTATAAATACGTATAAGGGATCTCCCAAGATGCCGTCACGTAATCCCAAAGTAAAAACACACAGCAGCAACACAAGAATACCCAATTAAGCTAAATATTGTATCAAGTAAACAGTTAATTCTAGCCTAACATGCTTCACGTAATGCAATTAAGGCAGTTTAAGCAAATAGGCAATTAAGTCAACTAAACATGCTTTTCTAAACTAGCAACAGGCTAAATTCGCAAGTAAAATAAAACAAGTAAAAGAACTCAATTGAAATACTTAAGGAAAAAATGGATTTTCAACAATTAGCTCAAGTACGCGCTCGTCACCTCACGTACAAGGCATTTAAATAATCAAATATATCATATCCTAAGGGGGAGGTCCCCCACATAAGGTTAGACAGGCCACTTACCTCGAACTAGCTCAAAATCAACCCGACACCATGTCTTTGCCACGAGTACTCGACTCCAAATGGCCCAAATCTACTCAATTCAATTGCATAATATAAATAACACTTCATGTAACTGATTCTACAATTAAATTCTAAGATAATAGGTGAAATTATGTAAAATGACCAAAATGCCCCTCGGGCCCACGTCTCGGAATCGGGTAAAATTTATATTTTCAGAAACCTCATACTCTCACGAGTTCGTGCATACCAAAAGTACAAAAATCGGACCTCAAATGGTCCCTCAAATCACCACCCAAAGGTTCCTAATTAGTCAAGCCCTAAACCTCAACTTGCCACTGATTTTTCCTTAATTTTCATGCTTAGGATGATAAAATCACTATAATAACGAGTTTAGGGACCAAAGACTTTACCCCAATGAACTCAACTGAAAATCTCTCTTGAAAAGTGCTCCCCAAGCTTCTTCCCGTTTTGCAAAAGATGAGAAATGGCTAAAATTCGCGAAGGCAAGAATTTATATGTTTTGCCCAGCGATTTCCGCATTTGTGGCCCTGGGACCGCATCTGTGATCCCGCTTTTGCGGAACACAAGTCGCATCTGCGATAACTCATTAAAATCCCCAATTCCGCTCCTGCGAACCTTCTCACCGCATCTGTGGCCTCTGCTGCTCCTCCTTATTTTCACTTCTGCAGTGACAATGCCGCTTCTGTGGCTCTGCACCTGCGGAACCTAAACCGCAGGTGCGGTTATGATAGATACCAGCTGAACCTGCAACCTCTTAACTTCAAAAAAAATCCTTCCATCTACCATCTGAAATCATCTCGAGGCCCCCGGGACCTCAACCAAAGGTACCAACAAGTTAAAAACCATTATCCAAACTTGTACAAATCCTTAAAATACCTAAAACAACATCGAAACCTCGAATTAACCAAGGATTTAAGCCTAAGAACTCCAAATTTCTCAAAATACGCTTTTGATCAAAAAGTCTATCAAACTTCGTCTGAATGACTTGAAATTTTGCACACACGTCACATTCAACCCTATGGAGCTACTCCAACTTCTGGAATTTCATTCTGATCCTCGGATCAAAATCTCACTATCGGACCGGAAACTCCAAAAATTCAACCTTCGGCATTTGAAGTCTAAATTAGCTAAGGACCTCCAAAACACAATCCGAACACACCCCTAAGATCAAAATCACCCAACGAAGCTAACGGAACCATCAGATTTCAATTTTGAGGCTGTCTTCACACTGTTCCGAATACGATCAACTTTCCAACACTTAAGCTTTCAATTAAGGACTAAGTGTCCCAAAACTCTCCGAAATTCAAAACCGAACATCCCAGCAAATCAAAATAGTAGAAATAAACTCGGGGAAAACAGTTAATAGGGGATCGGGGCGTAAATTCTTAAGACGACCGGCCGGGTCATCACAATCCAAGTCTGGTCCGTTTGAACCCATGACCTACATCAATCGATTGCTCCTGATGAGAGCAACCAATTGATGTTAGTCTCAGTTCATTTACCCATTAAGTTCGAACCAAGTTGGCAACCGTTTAGGATGGGATTTCTTTTCCTTTCTGTTTTTGCTCTTCTTTGTTTTCCTTCTTCATAATTGTCGTTTCTATTTAGTTCGCATGTTTTAGGGTTTACAGTTTTTCACTTTGTTGATTATTTTTCTGTTCGTTCTGCTTGGTTTAACCGGAATCATCAAAACATGTTTGCTTCTGAGTTTGGCAGTTTCTTTGCATAAAAATTCTTGCTGATTCCATCAACATGGTTATCGCTAGGGTTTAGCTTAATTTAGGTTTCTTTTTAGATGCTTAACACTATAGGATTTAATTGCACTTATTTATTTGCTTATTTTGATTTGATTTTGTAGATCATTAGACACTTCTAGGTGTTAATTTAACAAAAGAAAAACTTAAGATGGTACAATTGAAAACAGTTTTAAGAAATTTAATCCTGGAATCTTTTAGATTATTCTAGGAGGTTCCCATAAGGATTTAGAAATCAAAATTTAGGTCAGAACTGATTAGAATGAATTAATCAGTACTTGAAAGGGTAAAATTAGATAGGTAAATGAGGAAAATATCAGAATGTTCTAGTATGGGACAGTTGTCCCCATTCTTAGCATGTAAATGCTGAAATTGGGTGGGAAAAAGGACATACAGCTGTCAAAAGGTGTTGTACTATCTCACATTTCAGAAATTAGGGTAGAATATTCTATTTTTATGCTATCTTTGTGTATTCTATATAAATAATAGGCATTCACTCATTCTCACATATTTTTCATCATCATACAGACCTGAAAATCTTCTGAAAAAATCCAGCTTCCAGCTTTCCTGTTTTCCTTCTCTGTACAAAAGTTTGGAAGAAGTTTTCTTTGAATTTCTAGGTTCTTGAGCTGAGATATGAGTTGATATTGAAGCTATGGTTGGTGAATACTGTTGTTTTCTTGGCTGCTGAACTATTTGTCTTAACTTAGCAATTTTGGATCGATTCTTAAGCAACTAGGTACACATTTCACCCTATGTTTAAGTATTTGTAAATCTGATTTAATGATAAATGAAAGTTCTTTCTGTCAATGATATATGCTTTTGTGATATGAGTCATCCACCTAAATGCAACAACATTTGAGATTTTCTTGAATATGTAACTCCCTGTTCATCCAGTGTTCTTATGCCATGAAAATATGTTTCTTGTGTGTGTTAAATACAACATTTGCCATCTGTTTGTTTCAGCTTATGTACACTATTTTTTGTTCATTCTTGTCCAATATTCTGGCATCTGTTAGTTGAGCTTGTTTGGTAATACAGTAGGTCGCATGTGTGAAGCCATGTTGTTTATGAATCTGACCTTTAACATGGTTAGGTACGTGGATTTCAAAGCTGAAATAGAAGTCTGATTGACAATAGGCATGGAAATGCCGACATATTTCTGGAAGATCACTGCTGAAAATTTCAGTTGTAGACATTAGACTAGCTATCTTGATAATGTGGATCAAGTTTGTTGTTACTCTACAGCTGAATATTATTCATGAATGTTTAACCATGGGCCTGTAATTGATTGATTCATAGTCTATTATTACTGTAAACTTGGTGGATTGATTTGTATAAAGTAATTTGTAGAAGTATGATTTGAAACCTGCTTATTATTCAACAAGACAATTGTTTCCTACATATTTTTGAATCGTTTGTACGTTTTATCAAAAGAGTGTCTGGTTTGGTAACTGACAGCTCATGGACTTGAGTTGTTCACTCATTGGGCTAAGAGTTTGCAATCCATCAAGATAGCTACATGGGTTGGATTTAAATTGATTTAAATTACTAAGGGATAATGATAATTAAATGAGGCCTAGTTTCTACTGTTAGGTTACATGGCAGTTGATTGATTTGGTTAATGCTGAGCGAGAATCTTTAAGGATTGGGTCCGTGTGTAATGAAATAAATTTGGGCTTAATGTGAAATGGTTGTTTTATTCTTGTTTTAGTCAGTGGAAGTGTTAGAATAGTTTAGGAACATTACAATTCAATAAATTGTTATAGTTGCGTAATACTTGTCCTTATTGCCTCTCCTACCCAGTATGAAATCATTTTTCCATTTTGCAACGCTGGATTAAATTGCATGCCTCACTATTACTGTGAAAAGTAAAGTTGAATAAGGGGAATTAAGTGGGCTCGGCTAAATCTGCTGCGCGAATTTGACAAAAATGTCGGTTTTAACTAATGAATTACTAGTAGTTGAGTACAGTCCTATGGATTTTAAGACCAGTTGAGGCATGCCATTCACAAGTAAATTCCATAACCCATGGCCCTCATGTTAATATCAAAAACTAGTGTGGAAAAAAATAAATCAAACATTCGTAGTTTGCTTTATATGGGCTATAATTAAATCATCACGGCTATGGGTACGGTTCCCATGGCATGGTCGTGGTACATAATTTTCAAATTAGGGTGTGCATTTCATGTGACCCGATCATAGTAACTTTGAACAATAATTAAAATAAACATGTCGTGAATCACGGGTGCATTTCATGTAGCGTGGTTTGTGGTGTGTTCCCAAATGGCAAGTGTACGACAATCGTAACTTGTACAAGAAATAATTCCATAAATCCTAAAAGATGGTTATAAAGTTAAAAATGCACACTAGGTTTAAAACACGTAATAAATCAGATAATTAGGCCAATTATTAATATTTAAGTGACCGTGCTAGAACGACGGAACCCAAAAATGCCTAAAACCTTCTCCCGGGTTAATAGAATTCATTACCCGGTCTTTTGTGTTCGCGGACCAAAAACAGAGTCAAATTTCCTCGATTTGGGATTTAAAATAAACTGGTGACTTGGGACACCATAAATTATTCCAAGTAGCGACTCTGAAAAATAAATAAATAATCTCATTTCGATTTATGTCACTTCAATTGGAAAAACTATCTTATATCTCCTTTTCGGGTAAAAACAAGGTGTGACATTGAGCATAACATATGTGATTTGAAAGTTGCCCGCCCTAATGCGGCATGGGACTTGGCACTTGCATACCCTTCATTCAACAACACCCGGTGTGGAGCCGTTCTTTGTGGAGGTGGAGGTAGAACAGGAACATTGTCTTGAGGAGGTCGACCTCATCTATTTGCTTGTGGTTCAAGAGGAACCTCTTCAACTTGGTCATCTTCCATGTCCACATCCCTCATAGTCATGTTACCAAGAGGATCATTGTTGTTGAGAGCCATTGTTCACATACAATTGTTTCACCAAAAATATTAGTAACACAGAAGGAAAAGAAGACAATTCACACACAAAACCAAATATATAGCTAAATCTGTTTTTAGCTCCCCGGTAACGGCGCCAAAAATTGATCTCGTCCAAGTCACGCCTCTATTCAAGGTTATGAAATAGTCGATGCATAGTAATACCCAACTAAGAGTCGGGGTCGAATTCCACAGGGAGCTATATGAATGGGATTTAGGAGTATATATTATGGTGAATGAGTTTGAACTATCTTAGATTACACTTCCACAAATAGGGTTGTTTCTAGGTCTAAATTAAACTAATATTGCAATACAAATAATTGAAACTAAGAAATTGTTTTTTTCTTGTTGTTTTCAAATAATGTAAAAGGCCTAGGCCTATGACCTTCACCTAAGTATTTGCCTAACGGGTTGTAAACATTAAAGCTTTTTTTGTTGGTCGGGGTGTATTATAGCTATCAACACTCAATTACCCACTCAATACCTCTCGGTAAGAGAGTGATTTTGTCCAGTTAGGCTTTCTCAAGTCCAAATGGGTATTGACCCAAACAGTTTATAAAATGCTCAAGTCGGATTTTACTATCTCTAGGTTAAACCCTTTAATTGGGACTATCAATCTCCTGATTTCAACCCAAATTCTTGTTAGCCAAGTTTTTCTAGACTAAGTCTCTCTTTCTCAAGTAGAGACCAAGTCAAATAGCCATGAACTAATATTTGCAACCATTAATTCTACAATAAAAAATAAGAACAAGGCTAAATAATAAACATTCAACCATAAACAAGCCATAAATCAAACACCCATTAGGCTTATATAGTAGGGTTGGGTCACAAAACTAGTTAAAATCTAGCTACTCATAATGAGTATCGAAGAAAACAAGGAAGAAAAGATGATAAAACTCATATTGAAAGATTAAAAGACAAAAATCCAATGTTAAATCACCAAAGTAATCTAAAGTTGCCTAAAACGGTAAGGAAAAACGGCTACAGGAGTTCCAATATTCAAAACTTGATCTAATTTCGTGAAACTAGTCTATTTATACAAAGCTGGAAATTTCGGACAAAATTGCCCTTTTAGAGGTTCTACGGCCGCATAATTCCATGTGTGCTCCGCACTTTTCTTTACTCTTACAGGAGCTGGATCTGCAGTAACACAATTCTGGAATGCGGCCGCATCTTGAATGTTCTGCGGTCCACACAAATCCTGGCGCAGCTGCATAGGGCCCTTTTGTGGACCGCACAATTCTGAGTGCGGCCACGTGGCTGACTTCTACGGCCGCACAATAATTGTGTGGTCCGCACTTCCTTTGAAATTCATATGCACACTCTCTGAACTTCTGCTCTTGGGTAGCTTCTACTGCTGCACAATAATTGTGCGGTCCGCACATTGCACTTTAGCTCTGACAGACTTCCTTCACATTCTGTGGTCCGCACATAGGCCTTTGTGCCTGATTTTTGTCCTTGAGTTTAGATCACTCCTTGTTGAGTTGGATTTTATCTTTGTGGCTCATTTTCTAATACTCCTGCAATCAAGTTGGATTTTATCTTTGTGGCTCATTTTCTAATACTCCTGCAATCAAGTTGGATTTTATCTTTGTGGCTCATTTTCTAATACTCCTGCAATCAAGTATATTTCATCAGTTTTCGGGAATACAATTAAACATTTTTGGACTAAAACGAAAGTAAAAAAGTGCTAATAAGTAGTCAAAATCCCCACTTATCACGAGCCGATCTCGAAGAATATAAATTCAAAGTGGATGCTTTGTGCAGCGAGGTCGTTGAGAAGGTAGAGGATCTTGAGAAGGCGGAGTTAGCTCGGTCTGGGGCTATAAGGGAAGCAGAGGCTTTGGAGATTGTGATTTGTGTTCTTCGTTCCGAGCGAGAAAGTGTCTTGGAGATGGCGAGGCTCAAAGAGGAGCGGCTTGATGAGTGAATCAGAGAATTGGTGAGAGAGGCTTCTAGACTTTGTGATCGAGTCGCCATTCTTGAAGCCGAGAAGGCCTAACCGGCTGTCCTCTTCTCGTACTTCTGGTTTTCCTAATGTTCCCCGAGGTCTGTATGAGGAGTGGATTCACATCGAGGCTCGGCTGGATATATTTAGAGACCTGATGAGGGCGGGAACCATTTTGGAAGTTGTCTTCGAGGATGCTCGTGCTAAGGCGCACAGAGCTTGGGTCGCCTATGGCTATGACCTTGCTACACCGGAGGCCGAGGACGATGAGGGCGATGGAGGCATTGATCGGATCGAAGAGGACACCTGGTATGAGGACAAGTATCCAAGGGCGATGGTGATGGTAAAGGGGCAGATGTCGTTGTCGGGCTTGGCTGCGATTATTAGTTTTCTTTTCCTTGTTTTTGTTTTGTCGTACACTTGTGCATTTTGTGGGTGTCTTTTCGAGCCTTTGTAAAAACAATATTCTAAAAGTATGAGATATTATTTTTGTTATTTGTGCCTAATTCTTTTTCTTCGGTTTGTGCTCGTATGCTCTTTGATTTCGTTTTCTGGTTGTCTTAATTTTCTTAGTCATAATCACTTGGCTTGAATAGGGTTGAAAACATCCTTAGTTTGATTACGACTGTGGGTTAGCTGGCGTTAGTTCGAATGAGTCGAAATAAAATCCAAGTTTGATCATGGCTGAGGGCCAGTGGATGTTAATTTAAAACCGAGGTCGAGCATATCGTATGCTTATTTATGGTCGAGGGACGATTAGGTGCTAATTCGGCCGAGGTCGAAAATAACCTATATTTAGTTATGGCCGAGGGCCGATTAGGTGTTGATTCGAATGAGGTCAGATATAACCTATAATTAGTTATGGCCGAGGGCCGATTAGGTGGTAATTCGAGCGAGGTCGAATATAATCTATATTTAGCTATGGTTGGGGGCTGATTAGGTGTTTATTCGAATGAGGTCGAATATAACCTATATTTAGTTATGGCCGAGGGCCGATTAGGTGGTAATTCGAGCGAGGTCGAATATAATCTATATTTAGCTATGGTTGGGGGCTGATTAGGTGTTTATTCGAATGAGGTCGAATATAACCTATACTTAGTTATGGTCGAGGGCCAATTAGGTGTTGATTTGAGCGAGGTCGAATATAACCTATACTTAGTTATGGTCGAGGGCCAATTAGGTGTTGATTTGAGCGAGGTCGAATATAACCTATATTTAGTTGTGGCCGAGGGCTGATTATATGTTGATTCGAAGAAGGTCGAATAGAACCTATAATTAGTTATGGATGAGAGCCGTTTAGGTGTGTCTCTTGGTGCAGCATTTGTTGTTTTTATGAACTTTTAGACGACATTTCCTTGGTTGTACATTTGGAGTAATTGAAATAAACTTCATGTATTTGTGCTTTGTTCATACACTTGGAGAAATTTACATATTTTTTTCGGGCGTTGGCTGGAGTTCCAGTCCCAGTT